AGGCTGGAGAGAGAATGAAAGGAGCATTTTATTACCACTAAAAAAATGTGTCATCCAGTATGATTTAAAAAAAAAAAAAAAAAAAGATAATAAAATCTCATGGTTCAGTAGGAAAGTTCCCCTTGGGACTTTGGGAATAATTCTTCTGCCAAGCTCAGTTATTGTGCTATTGGTTAGATACATCATATGTCTCCCTCCAACACTTCTGAAATATTAGCTCCTAGATGCAAGGAAAGACAGGTTATTAGTACTATTTAAAGTATTTGCTGCACTGTGAAGGCACAGGGAAGTAGCAAAGACAGCAAGTTCCTGATTCCTCTTCCATCTGATATCAGAAAGAACCGATTTGTGACTTGGAATCAAAACTGAGTAGATTCATTGGATATCATTTAAAGATGAGGGTAGGAATTAGAAAAGTTAACGAATCCCTTGTTGGGGTGCTATACATCAGGAATGCAAAAGTGAGCATGACTGCATGAATCATATCAGCTTCAAAAGGTTCTCTGAAGACTCATATTGGATTTGATATAAAGAAGTGCAGCCCATGCATGACAGATGCCACAGTACTCCTTGCACTTCAGAAGAAACACTCCATATGCAGAACACTGCAAAGGACCTATCCTCAGGAATTTTTATGAGGAATTAGGGTTTTTTAAAGGCAAAAGGCATTCCCTGAGAACAGAAAATGGACAGCTGTGGCAAGCAGCTTCCTAAATTCTGTAAGAAATTATTGTATTAAACAGTTCAGACAGGGATGCCTTTTCTATAAGCCTTAATTCACATGCATAGATTTCATTCTTCCCTTAAAAAAAGAAAAAGTTTGCTTGTATGATGTGTGTAAAAAACAGCTGCATGTATAGGGATTTGCATCAGAAGCTTTTCATTATTTAAAGCCACCTATAAGAACCTCACAAGTTTATGTAGGGCATCTACTACATGAACCCCCAAGAGTCAGCACTAATAATTCCAAAGGTTTGACAGCATTGTGCTGCTGGTTTTTCAATATTATTTTACAAGTATGATATTCTGAGGGTGCAAAGAACTCAAATAAAAAACCTAATAAGAAATCAAATAAAAGTATATTATGAAAGCTGTTAAAGAAGCCAGAGGCTAAGCCTCTTGCAGGCCTTTCCTTGTGGGAACGAGTAGATACAAATAGCACTGAGAGTTTCAAATTTTGAGGGAACCTGAAAACTGTGAGATACAAAAAAGTGAAATCCCAGTGTTCCTGTGTTAAAACTAATATGTTACAGTTCAGGAAGGTGCATACAGCTCATAAGAACTACAATCATTGATACTGTATCTGAGTTGCATGTAGGCTTGAGGAAAACAATGATTACTATCTCATGGTGTTCACAACCTGTTGTTATGTGGGAGACCTAAAGATTCCTTAGGAATCATGAGGGCAGTCCATGAATGAAGGTCCTAAATGCATGATTTCATTCTATAGTTTATAAGCAATATACTGCATTGAGAAACAGTTAAAAGAGGCTGCTGTTTGTTGAAGCAACTATATTTTAAGCAATTTTCACAGACTTAGAAGATGTGGTAACTGAGCTGTAAAGTAGTAAAATTAATATCTATTTTTATTATTGCTATTACACGATTTCTGCTTAAATTTGGTTGCTGTTTCCCCTCCTATATTTGCTTCACCCTGTTGTTCACTCAACTAGGTAATCGATTGCTTATGTAAAATTAATACTCAAGGAAATTCCTGTTAGTTTCCAAAAGGAGTTTTGCTGGAGAGAAGGATGCAGCACTTGACAAGGAGTGTGCATGAGTATCTGTTTTTATTACTCTGTTCTGCTTTATTCTTTCCACAGCAAATAAGTAGGATTAAGGGAGCATATCCTGAATGATGGATGATAATTCTGAGCACTGCAACTAAATCTTTTGACTGCCTGG